AAAAAAGTTTAAATTGTTAAAAAAAAAATACATAAAATTCAAACACTAATCTTCAGAATTCATGTGAAAAAGTATCATCTGTCCATTGATTTTTAACTGCCCTGTCTTCATTTATAACATGATCATCTATAAATACATAATGTCAAAAGAATACAAATTCATTGTGGTAGCAACATTGTAAAAATGGCTATTTGCTGACAATCCAGCCAAAGTTTACTGGCTAAAATACTGAGAGTGAGGGCTGGTGAAAGCATGAGAGTAGGGGATGTCAGTTAATTTGCATTTATTTTCAACATGAAGTCAGAACAATTCCGGCTACAGATCTAAGTAAAAGAAAGTTCCTTCATTAAGCAAAGCAAATATTTACTGAGTGTTCCACTATATGGTTGATGCTTAATAAACTGACCATAGAACGTTACCTGAAAGCAGTAAGTGCATTTAACCAGCTGAACAAAATGACTAATCCTATTTAGAAAATTTAGTTCACTGAACAAACTAGTTCTTTAAATGTAGGTTGTAAGAGAAATAGGATATAAAATAACCCATCACTCCATGGAGATGATTTGGTACCTTTATCACAAGCTGATCAGTCCACTGACAAAGAACTAACAATCAATACCTCCTACTGAATGGATCTTTAAAAAAAAAATTGAAAAAAGGTTCATCTCCAATATTCACTCCCAAAGCTACAGGACATTTACTTGATCTACACTCACTTTTCGTGAGTAGAGTAAAACAAGGACAAGTGTGTACTGAAAACTCGAAGAGGCACCTTCAACTCTTTGAAGAAGTAATCAGAGAAAAATTCCCATGCCTTTGCTATTAAAATAGCTGCAACTTAATTCCCTACTTAACCTAAACTGCCAGTCCAAATGCTTGATTTTTGGCTTTCCTTAAAGCAGTTGTATTTGGGACATTTTTTAAGGCAGAGAGAGAGTGTGTGTGTATGTCTTTCGCCACTGGTTAAACACTTTCACCCATAAAAATAAGGAATGTCCGTGTGTGTGTGTGTGTGTGTGTGTGTGTGTGTGTGCATGTGTGTGTATGTGTGTCTTTTGCAACTGGTAAACACTTTCACCCATAAAAATAAGGAATGTCTGTGTGTGTGTGTCTTTTGCCAGTTTCTGAAAAATAATACTACACATAAACAAAAAGCTTGAGAATGCCCCAGATTTTAATTAAAACTTATTTAAAAGTACAATGCCTTTAAACAATGATTAGACAAAAAAAAAAATCAGCTTTTACCTTATTTGGAGATTGTATTTTCAGCATTTACCTTAAACCACAACATGGACTTACCTTCTAACCAGTTAGCTTCCTGTTGTTCCCCCAATTAGATTAGACTGTAACTTTTGAGAGCAAGAGGCTACTAAGACCCCATGATCTGCTTCCCAGCTAATGTTATTTCAAAAACTCCAACTCTCTACCAAGGAATAAATGTTGCCAAGCCTTAAAGCCTTATGGATTTCTCTAATTTTTTAAAACTATTTTGGTAAGAGCTGGTGCCCTTAATATTATACCAATACCTTATTAAAGTATGGTCTTGAACCTCTAAGAGCTCAGGGTGCTTTCAGGAAATCCAGAAGGTCAAAAACATTTTCATGAATAACATTAAATATTACTTTGATTGTTTGCTCTCACTGTCTGAAGAACATGTAATGAACTTTTCCAGAGGATACATGAAGTGTGATAGCTCAAGAGATTGAATGCAGAAGCAGGTATGAGGATTTGACTTCTTCCACTAATTTAGACAAAAAGTTCCAAACATGTAAAATAACTCTACTCATTAAATTTTAGCTTTGAAAAACATTTTACATAAACTGTCATTTGTGTTAACAGGTACTAGATCTATCGTTGCTACTTGTAAGTAAATTAGTACATATTTTAAGTTTTCCTCAATTTTAATTTCTGATATGGCAATATCAATATAAGTCACACAATGGATTAAAAGCCACACAAACTCTTTGGGTTCTCAAAATTTTTAAGACTTTTAAGGGGTCCTGAGAACAAAAAGTGTGAGGCATACAATTATATATAACCAAACACACAGTGCCTTCCACAGATAAGAAGCTCAAATTAATTCTTAAGTATAATTACTTCTTACCCCCTAATCTTGTTGAGTTCTGTATCTCCTTGTAAAATATAATTCAACATAAAGCCAGTCTGTTCTGGGCTCCATTTAATAGGCTTTAGATATTTAATTATCCAGAGTCCTCTTTATACAGCTGTTCTGGCCTGCAATACCACCTATTACTTGTGTAACACATAGCAGTTTCTTAGCATTTTCCCCAAAAATTAACACATTCATGCTAATAGCAAATACATGCAAAATATTACTTTTACAGATGACATACTAAAACTGACACTAAAGGGAAACAGAAGTTCTTATCTAAGGATGTACTGCTGCTAACAGACCAAGGATGTTGGTCTTTTGCAATGTGCTTGGCTATCTCCCTGGGATTTAATTGCTAGCTCCCAAAGAAAATAAGGCAAGGGCATTATTTTCATTGTCCTGGTGCCAAAACTGGGGTTTCCCCCTCCTTAGTAAGAACATAATCAGACTCAATACTAGTCACAGTATTATTCAACACATTGGCTACCTTTATGGTCCCTTCCAATTCAAGAGTGTTGGAGAGGGAAAAAAATGCCTGAATTATGTATTTCTCCAAGATGAGTTAACTAAGAACTCACAGATTTACTAATCATTTAATCACTGAAACAACAGGCAAGCAAGAACAAGCTCAAGCCTAACAGAGTAACACTAGATTATACCAATGAGCAGATGCCAGCAGGTTAAAATGGGAGGCCCAAATGAAATGGGTTCAACTCACAGAGTGTGGATAGAAGAAAAACCCACACAGAGACGGAATACTAGCTAGCTTTATTGGTTCAACAAATCCAAGCAAGTACTAGAACCACCTTGGCAAAGCAATGCGAGAGGCAAACTGTTACAAGATGCAAAGATGCCACCCTACCTCTTGGACCGAAATCACCCCTCCCTTAGGCTGAACATTACTATTTTGCTCTTGTTATCACCACAGGCCTCTCAATTATGCTCCATTTTAACTTACTGAAGTCTTCAACAGTTGCTTTTTTGTATCTCTATTCCAAGTCAAGCGGATGCCCTGACTGACAGAGGCAAGACTGACTCGCAGCAGGATATCTGCCACTTGTATAATTCTTGTCTTTTTTAGATGCATGTGCCCAGTGAAGCCATTTTAAAATTTGATGTGATTTTTATACGGAAAAAGCCAGAAGTATGCTGACTGACCACTTTATATTCCTGTAGATGGACAAGAGTAATTTGCTCCTAGTAAGTTATGCTTTTCCTAGTGTTCATTTTGATGTTTTTTTCTCCTCCCTCCAAATCTCTCTTGGAAAAAAATTAAGTTTATTATAGCATGGCAGTTATACCTAATATATAATCAATCAATTTGTGAAACAATGTGATACCCATTTTTTGTCCCATACTCAACACTCACTGTTAAAGATCTATTTATAGGTAAGAGCTAATTTACACAAGTTTCTGCATCCCCACAAAAGAACTGCAAGACCGGCTTGGGGAGGGGGAGCCTGTAATCCCAGTACTTGGGAGGCTGAGGAGTACCTCGAGTTCAGGTCAGGGTGGGTGACATAGTTTTCCAGCCAGCCTGGGATATATAATATAGATATCTATATATCTATAGATATCGAGAGAGAGAGAGAGAGAGGAGAGAGAGAGAGACCGACCCAGTGTCAAAAGCAAACCAACACAATTGCAATACTACACTGTGGAAACTAATTAACTGGTTAATTGTTAAAGGCTTCATGCAGAAAACGATCTGACTTTACAAAGGCAAGGAAATCATCAGAAAACTGCTCTAATAATTGCAGAAAACTGCAAATATTATCTTCCCCCTCTTAGAGTATTCTTTGTGGCACTGGGTTGTCCCCCCCCCCAGAACATAATCACCCTTTAAGAAGTAATCTGTCAAAAGTGTTAAGGCATTCTCCAACCCACCATGAGAAATGTCACACAGCTAAATCCTTCACCATCGCTGGGTTTCTGTTTCTTCATCTGAACTTGATTTCTGAAGTGCACAATTCCAATTTGATAGCACTGATCCAGCTAGCAGTGATCATCTTAAAGCTAATAAACAAAGACTCTGGTGGCGGCATCAGGGCCGGACCAGGAAGTAATCAAAGAGGGAGGCTGGTGCGATCCTAAGTCCTCAGACCAGACAATGAGAGGGCACCAGGGCTCCCAAGGGGGCGGGCAGAAAGAGTTAAAATGCTCAAGCTACTCAAATGCATTATATAAACCTAATAACTGTCAGGCAGCACACGAACTCGCGAATCCCAACACAAAACCACACAACCCAAAGACTGTTTTGAAACAGTCTTGGAAAGGCAAACTCGAGCCGCCCCTCCAAAGCAGCTGCGGGCTGCGTCTCCCGAGCTCTGGTGCACGAAGCCTGTTTTCAAACTTCACCCTCCCCGGCGGAGTGATGAAAGACTCAAACCTCGGCCTCCCGGGGCTCCGGATGCCCGAGCCCGTGGAAAGGGTAACGCAGCCGGGCCGAGACCGGCGGCGGCCCGCGCGCCCCGCAGCCCAGACAAAGCTGCGCCGAAGAGCGGCGCTCTTCCTGTCCGGCCCACGGACGAACGCGAGCCGAGCCAAGCCGGCCGGGCCACACGTGCGACCGCCCCGCGGGTCCCCCACCCAGCGCCGCAGGGCGGGGCGAGAGGCGCGGGCCACACTCCAAGCCCCCCACGGCCCCACGCCTCGAGGCCCCCGCGGACTCCCGCCCCTCGCGGGCCTCTTCTCCAAGGGCCCGGCCGTCGGGCTGCGGGAAACAAAGGAGACGCTCCCGCCCGCGCCCGCCTCACCGCGCACCCCGAGCCCGTTCGCCCGAGCCCCTCCCCCGGTCCGTGCACCGGCCTCCCGCGGCCCTTCGACGGCAGGCCCGGCAAAGCCGGGGCCTCGGGTGCGCGGCCAGCCGGCTTGGGGCCGCACTCACCACTGCAGCACCAGGACGACGGGGAGCCGTTGGGGAACTTGGCTGAGTCCGGAGCGATGCAGACGCTGGAGCTGAGGTGCGGACACTCCATAGCCACGAGGACCGCGGCAGGGACCACTGAGACTCCGGAGCTGAGGGACTCCGGAGGCTCCGTCTGGGGTCGCTCCTTGCCGGGCGCTCGGCAGACGGCAGCTAGATCCTGAGCCTTTGCGTCAAAGAAAGCAAGGGTTTCCGGACGCCGGGTTTTCCCGCCTGCCGACTCCCAGAACTCCGCTCCGGAGAACGTGGTACTCCGGAATCCGGGTTCTGCCACTGCCTCTAGGCCGGAGGCTTCCGCCTTCCCAGGCCGGCCCCGCCCACTCCGAGCCGGCCCCGCCCCCAGACCCCGCCCCGCCCCCGTGCACTTGCGCGGGTCGGGTGCCGGCGTGCACATTCGTTGATGGTTCCGTGTCCCGCTGCGCTCAGAAGACTCTCCCAACTACTGCGCCCCGGGCGGCCGAGACTGATCCTGACCCCACTGCAAGGGTGGGTCCCTAAGCCAGGGCAGGCCACTGCGGTCAGAGGAGGAGAGTGACCCTGCGTGCGTGGTGTGTGCAGGTCTGACTGCAGCGAGGCTTCGTGGTAGAAAGTCTGGCCACACAGCAAAGTGTGAAGGAGAAAATAAAAAGCCACTCGGGCAAACAGGCTTTGTAGCCCCCATCTTACACAGCAGGAAACAAGCTCAAAGGAAATTAAGGTCCTGGCCCCTAGTGGCCCAGTGGGCTGCGTAGGTGCCAGAGCAGTACTGACTTGACTTAGCGTCCGCTCCCTGCGGCAGGTGCGATCCAGCCCCTGTTCTGGGTTCTGATCTCGGGGCCTTAGCCGGCCATCTGGATGCTGCGTGGCTGGGCTCGTAGGGGCGTCCACGAACCTGGCTTCAAACCCTGTCACTGTGACTCACTGTCTTCGTTACCTCAAGCACTTCGTCGGATTTTTCATACCTCGCTCTTGGCTGGAAGTTAAGTGAAATAAGTATGATTTGGTTTGCTGAGCGAGGTCCCCGTTAGCGGGTGATAAAAAGGGGAAAGATATAACACGTGTGAGATGCCCAGTACTGTCACCCAGCTAGGTACTTAGCATACTATAATTCATTTAAACTTCGTAACACCTTACCAACTGCGGTTACTGGCCCTTTCCCCCGACTCCGGGGGGTGGAAGACGCAGAACCTGTTGTGTAATTTGCTAACCCACGTGGAGATTGGATCCCCCGACCCTCTGAAAGGGGTCGGAGGTGAGGGCGAGTCTCTCTCGGGGCTGCCTTACACCCGAGAGCGCCTCTGAGAGACCTCACAGTCTTGCGGACGTCCCAGACTATCACAAACGTCGCCTCAAAGTTGGGGCTCTTTGTAAAACCCGGCGAAGGAGCCGCGAGTCTCATGGCAAGTAAGGGGAGGAGGAAGACCGATGTGGCAATTCTGAGGGCAGGACGTGAGGAGGAAGGACAGTCAGGAAATGATTAACTGGGCCGGACCGAGTAATGGTTAGAGCAGGGTACCTCCCCAAACTGCACTCTTGAAGCAGCCCACGGTCGCCCCCACTCCTCCTCACTCCACACTCGATCTTCTTCCTAATGGTGTCCACCCAGTTAGGACATCTCTGTCCACCGTATTTCAGAATCATCAAAAGTTCCTCTGCCGCTTTCTAAATTCTATTTCATTGCTCTTACAGCAAGGCTCGGACCTGTTATGGCAATGAGATGTGCCAACTTAACAAGTGTACCTAGTCCTCCCAAGCCTTTTGATCCTCTATAAACTGGAAAAATAACACTCATCTGGAAAGGAAGTTCTGAGAATTCCCACCAAGTAGGTACCAGATAGATCATAGTTTGTTTTTCTTTTTTAAAGTAACTGCAGGTGAGGACTGCTTCCCTGAGAAGAGGGAAGAGAACAAACAGTAACATCTGACCTTTGTTCAAGCTCGTCCACTCTTCTCCTATTAACCTATTTGTCTTTAAGTTCTGATTCAACCATCCTTCTGTTTTTCTCTAGACTCCTACCCCATTTACAATCCTCAGCCTCACGTTCAGCCAGGGAGCATGGAATATGTAATGTTGCCTTTATTCACCCTCTCAGAAACAGTTTCCTAATCCTCTAGACCTCAGTTTAAACATCACTTCCTCCTGGAGTCCTTTCCTGACCCTGCTCCACCCCCTGGTTGCCTGCCCGAGTGTGATGCCCTTGGCTGCCCCCACCCTGCCTTTTAAAAACACTCTTCATGCATGTAATTATTTGTTTTATGTCTGTCTTCTCCTTGGAGGTCCATAAGGGCAGCAAACAAGTCTGTCTGGTTTCCTGTTTTATTTCGTACATAGAACATGGGGAGTGTTCACTAGATAAGTGTTCAATGGATGAATGCGGGAGTGAGTGAATGGTGAGTTAGCCAGGTCTACGAAGAGAGGAGCTCAAGAAGTGGCCCAGTATATGGCGGGTGTTTGGCCCCCCTAGAAATGATCTCTAAATTTCCTTTAAGTTCTGAGTTAATGATTTTTAAAGGATCAGGAATTTAAGAGTATCTTGTAAAGCGTAAACTGCTTTTTAAAACTATTCAACCGGAATAAAAAAAATTCTTGGAGCCAGGGCCCTAATTTAGTCACCCCTGATTGCAGTAGTTGCGAAGAAGGCAAATCCAAAACAAATTGGGCAAAATCAGGCGCTCCTGAGACTTTTGCTACACTGTCCTAAAACAGCTAACTTTCCTGTGTCTTGGAAAGTTTTCATAGCAAGGGAAAAAAAAAAAAAAAACCTGCCGTGAGTAAATGTGTCAAACGCAGGAAGACCACGGGGCACACTGGGAAATCTGCCTTTTCAGTCCCTGGGTTCTGCAGCTGCATTTAATACAACGTTTGCTTTTTTGCTCTTGGCCAGCATCCCTTTGGCATTTAAGAACCCGGACTTGCAAACCAGCGCGAGCAGACGGGGATGCGCCCGCCCCCAGCGCCCCGACTGTGCACGCCACGGCCGCTGAGAGTCCCCATTCAGCCTCTTAGAAACCCACGTATGGGGTGAGGGTTCCAGCGTAAAGTCCGCCAGGCGCAGGCCTCCCCTCGGGAGGAATGAACAATTTCAACCTATCAAGCGTTTCTCTTTTAAAGAATATATATACATGCATTCGAGTGGAAGAAAATGAAGACTCGAGGAGGTCAGACTTTGCGTGGGAACCATGGTCAGGAAAGGTCTCAAAGTTGTTGCGACCTTCCCAAAATCTTAGACGCTGATTCTGTGACTTCTCTCAGAATCCGTGGTCCTCAAGCAAGAATTACAAACTGACTATTCCTAGTTAAGTAAGGCTTGCAAGAAAACACCCAGAAAGTTGGCTTAATTATTTACCGTAGAAATTTTTCTAGGAGCAAAACCTCCTTGGAAAACTCAAAACTACACCAAAAAGTCTTGTAACTGTTCCAAAGTTTGGGGGAGGGGAAGCAGCCTCTCCGGGACTCTTCTACCACAGGTTTAATTTTCCTAAAAAGCATTTATCTGGTATTTTCTTGCTTGTTTACTTGTGTATCTATTATCTTTCTCCATGAGAATACGGATCTTGTTTGTCCTGTTCTGTTGCCTCATTCCCAACTCCTGGAACACAGCCTGGTACTTGGCAGATCCTTAATAACCATTTGTTTACTGCAGTTCAGTGATAAGAGTCCACATGCAAAGGCCCTGGGGTCAATCCCCAGCACCAAAAACGCTGTGGGAATGGGATAGGCACACTTGCTCAAAATTTGTTACTTATCAATTCTTTTATTCTACCAGATTTTATTCTAAAATCTCAAATCATGGCTGCACCAGTCACCAGCCCCTCTCCTTTTGCTTAAGTTTTTCTTTTTCTTTCTTTCTTTTTTTTTTAAACCATTCCAGCAGTAGCTAAAATAGTTCCCTTATTGTACAAAATGCGGTTCCTCATTCTTCTATCCCTTTCTACCTGGCCAGATCCTCCTCCTCCTTAGAGCCTCCCTCCATCACTCAAGCAAGCAGATTTCCAAGTCTTCCCCCTACTATAATCACCCCCATTCTGTCCCAGCAGCTAGTCACATGGTGCTGTTATTTTTCTGTTCACACTTCAGGCTCCCTTGGGAGCAGGTGTTTTTATTTTCATCTGTGAGTTCCTAGCACCAGTTAGCAATAGCAGATATTAGAACTGATTATATTTTTGATTGAATGTTGTTGAAAGCGTCCCTTTCGAGAGTGATTACATCAATAATTATGTGTAATGGTCCCCTAAGTATTCACAAAAAGGACCTCACTCAAGTAGTTAGAAACTTACATTTATTGTGTTCAGCTAGATGCCAGATACCATGTCAAGTGGTCTTCATTTCTTCTTTTTTCTCTGAAAGGTAAATATTACTATCTCCATTTTACTGGTGAGAGAACTAAGCTTAAAGAAGGTTAAGTGATTGCACATATTTACACAATTAATAATTGTTCTTGGATCAAAGAAGGCAAAGTTTCACCCCTCCTATGCGTGGTCATCTAAATGATTTTGCAGTGTTTTATGGGGAAGCTGAGGTTCCTAAAGAGGAGGAACCACAGGACACAGAGGAGCATTCTGGTTAATTAGAGAATCATTTATGTTCAGAACCATTGTAATAATTACCATTATATCATTAACATCTTAATTTGTGTTGCTTTCTTTTGTGTGTGTGTGACAGCAGGGTGTCACTATGTAACCCCAGGCTGGCTTTGAACTAGTGATCCTCTCACCTCAATCTCCCACTGGGGGTTATCACTTTCCTTTTAATCACTGAAAACTCCGTTTTGTGAAGGAGATGAGAAGGTTTTCTTGTTTAAAGACCCACTTTGCAGATTAAATGCCAGCAGATTAAGCAAAACAGTGGGGCTCTAGCACCAGAGGACCCTCTGACACTGGGCTCGCTCGCCGCGCTCTCTCTCTCTCTCTCTCCTT